GAACCACTGCAGAGAGAAGGGAAGTCTGGTTGCCTGTCGGCCAGCCAGCACCCAGGATTCCAYGTCCCATCCTTTCCTGAGAGTGCCCAAGCCCTTGCTCCAGCTGGTTGCTAACAGGGCATTTTCCCTGTAGGTTTCCAGTGTTTTTCTCTGTGCTCGGTGCTGCACCAAGAGCTCTGGCACTGCCTAGCAGGGCCCTGCTCCTCTCTGAAGCTGGCAGAGCAAAGCCCTGCCAACGGTGGACATYGTGTGGGAATAAAGGCAACAACACTTGCTCTGTGAAGTCAAATGAAACAGAAAATTGTTTTAATCCCTTTATAATAACTGCGCCATCACCGATGCCCCAAATGACTGGTGGAGACAGTGCTGGAAGTGAGCCTGGGATGGACACGGTTCCCAGGGGGCTGGTGCCATCCCTAGCCCACCCTAAGGGGCCATTAGCCCAAGCAGCTCCCCTGCTCCAGCCCACCTTAGGGTGGTTATGGCTACAGAGCCCTTGGAGAGGGGGCTGTCCCAGCAGCAGATGTGACCCGGGCACATGTGGATAGAGATGTGGCAGCACAYGACACTGAGCTGTGCCCGATGTGGGCACTTCTGGCTCACCTGAACCGGCAGAGCTGAGCGGAGCCACAGCCACAATCCCCCCATGCCGGTGGTTCTGAACTTTTCACCGTGTCCCCGCTGCGCCTGCCGGGGCAGGAGCCCAGAGCTCCCCATGTGCTTGTCGTTACAGCCCACGGCTCGTCCACAGGATTTTCAAATAAATAATTAGTCACTTGTGTAAACACCAACTTGTTCTGCACTTCCAAGCCTGTTTGCTGCAAGCTGCTTTATAAACACTGTCAAGTGCTTAAGCCGGCTGCGGGAGTATTTACGGAGCGGGGAATTGTGCAGAGATTCCCCGCGGTTCCTCTGCTCTTTGTGCGGCCACCTGAGCACGGCGCTGGGCTACCCTGGAGGTGGGGACAGGTGGTGTGGAATGGTCTGGCCATGCACAGCACGGCCAGAGGACCCTGGGGACAGCCCGAACTGTCCCCAAASCAGCGCCGGGTGCCAGCGGCTCCGGAGGGACCGCGGTGCCGCCACCTGCTCCCGCCGCCCCCGGTTTTTAATTASGGCGGTTTTGCGGGTGAAGCGCGTTCACAGGAAGCACACGCCGTGTTTACACAACACTCACTGTTTGGGCACAGTCCCTCAGCGGGGATGGATGGCCGGAGGGAGCAAACAGAGCCCCAGCGTGCCAAGAGCCAGCGTGAAGTGCCACCAGCACATACCCCATCTCTGAGTGCCTGACCGTCCAGGACAGGGATGTGCCATGGGAAACCTCGACCGTGCAGCACAAACCAAGCAAGAACACACTTTTTCCTCCTTGTTTCCTTGCTTTCTAACCCAAAGAGAGCCTGGGCTCAGCCACAGCTGTTCCCTCAGCACAGAAAGGCCACTGGCATTCGAGGAGCTGCAGAGTAAGTGCCTTGGCAGGTCACACACGATCCACAGGTCTCCAAATCCCCCCGTGAGCACCTGGGGTCTGTGGTGAGTCTTTCTGGACCGCCTGCTCTTCCCACCCTCACTGTAGGACAAGAATTATGATTCTTTCTGTTATTGCAGCCATCAGTCAGGCTCAGGTTGCTACAAACAATTTCCAGTCTAAACACTAGCAGGATTTATGCCATTATCCCATCTACAGGAAGAATTTGGGGGAACTTGAATTGCTCTGAATTCATTTATGGAGAGACCTGGCCCCTGAATCTGAGATGGCACTAAGCCTTGTTTGCAATTCAATCAGGATAAATTGGTCCTTGGGAGCTCCAATACAAACCAGAAAATGTAAACCATCCAGATAATTTGCCATTAGTCCTCCTACACACAAGGTGAGAAAGAACAACATTATATCCCTGGGATATTTGAGACCTAATCCACAATAACTAAATTCCTGATATATTGCCTCTCGCTGAACGTACCAGGGATCGTAATGTAAACGGGCTCTCCAAAGGTTTACTGAGCCTGGGAGAGAAGGACCAGATGCTGGAGGCAGGACAAACCTGCTTACAGCAGCAGCAGCAGGAATGAACCCCTGGGAACTGCCAGATCACTGCCAGCAGCTGGCTGGGCACCAGCTGGGAGCTGGGGAATTTGTGTTTCCAGGTCCTGGAACTGCATAGGGAATTTGAATTTTCCCTTGGTAGTCAGTGAGGGGTGTAAATATGCAGAAAGTGTCTTCCTGCAGGAGGAGGCATGGTTTCACAGGATCTCACTCGGGTTATTTTGTCCCAGATCTCCCAGCCCTGCACCAGGGGACAGCACCCTGGGACAGACCACCCCAAACCCTCCCATCCCCAGGGCACAGTCCAGCTCCTGAAGGCTGTGGGTGGCAACAGCAGCTCCACACT